GAAGCTTTTCCGAACTCAGCTTAAAATAAACCCTATTTAATTATTTGTATTAAATAGGGGAACTTGTCGGCAAATAAAACGGTTTCGCAGACCCAAACGGATGTCATATGTTTTCCTAGTTTATTTGATCGAGCCTCATCCTCAAATCTTGTGTTTATCTCTCGTGGTAGATATATGATTTGCGGTAGAGTGCTCTTTCATTTAAACTGTGAAAAATATGAGGTCAGTTTGATTTCATATTTTTCTAAAATTATATATATATACGTAAATTAATAATTATATATATATCGAAGCGGGCGACGAAATTTCGATCCCGGCGACCGACAGCTTCTTACGGGCGACCCCCAAACATAACTTTCTTCTTTTAAGTGCCGACAGAGACATACTCTCTTCATTTCGTGCCATCTCTTTACTCTTTATTGCTAATGTAACACATATAGATTCCATGCTAGAGTACCGTATTTTGAAGTACCTCCAGCCCTCTACTCTCTTGATCGTTCTTCCTCCAAAGTCGTCTCCTCTAATTCTTTCTCCTTGTTAGAATATACTTTTTTATGATTTATAACCAATTGTCCTGTGATTGAAACTGAACATAGTTCAACAATAACCATTTATGTAGTGATGAATGCCAAGCATCTTGATTCTTGAATCAATAAGCAATTTTAACTCACCACTCCTCTCTGCCAAACAGCGAGGACTGGCACATGTTGTTAAAAAATGACCAATTTTTAAACATTAAGCTAGTTGTAAAGGGGGATGGAACAATGGTTAATTTGCTTTTATTGTAGTATGGAGATCCCAAGTTCAACATTTAAAGTCACTGATAGGAACTTTCTGCAGATGCATGAATAAGACTGCACAGGAAACCATTGTGAAGGCTTGCATTTGCTGAAGCTCCAAATCTTTGGCACTTCCTTTGTTGAGGAAAATTGTGAGACGAATATGGACTAAGAGAGCTAGGGAGATAACGGGAGGATATATAACGTACCAACTCGTTAATTAAGGTTACATGTAAATGTTTCCATGCAATTTTCAAAATTCATTTTTTCTTTTCATATATATATGGGAAATTTATATACATTGCACACAATTTTGATTGATTTTTATTTCTAACTCATAGTTTGTATTTACATTTATAACACTGTTGTGTCATAAACCTATGCATGAAAATATGCATTTTGCTTTTAAAAGTTAGTAATAGTGGTATTTTTGTGTCATGATGCTAAAGATTTGAATGCTATGAAAGTAAATATGAAACTGTGTCAGACATGCAAGTACATAAGAATTATGTGGTTTTTGTATGTAAATGCCCATATATATATATATATATATATATATATATAACTAAAAGAAAAATATCGTCATATAAAACTATTAGATGATTCATGTTCCCAAAAAAAAAAAAAAAAAAACTAACTAATGTTGCAGTATCTTATTATTGCGATATCATTGCCAAAATTTTCCCCTTCGGCCATCTTTTCAAATCGGCAAATAACATCTGTTGGCCTTTAGATGTGACTTGCTTTTCCTTAGAATGTCATTCCTAAATAATGAAACTTAGCATTAATTATTCTATGTTGCTCTTTTGCAGTTTAATGCAAGATCCTTTCAGTTCCGTACCACTTATATGGCTTATTCAGGAGGGCAACTTTAGTAAGCGGCTTTCCTCTTATATAGCCTTGCAAAAGAAAGATCTTATCACTGACTGGAGAAGTGCTTTCAGTAGGGCAAACGCTGTGGTGTTTTCAGACTACTCTCTACCAGTAAGTAACATGCTGTTTACAGTGACTATCATTGTCGGCATAGTTAACTTTAGGGGTATCAAATCATGTTCTTGGGTTAGGTTCAAGTCTGACCCAAAATTGTTTGACTCGAACCCAACCCGATTATTAAATGGTTCAGAAAGTCCAACCTGAATTTGATCTCTCTTCAACCCGCTGGTCCAAACCTGATGCTTATAACTTGATTATCATAAGCATAACAACTATTTCGGGCTGGGTCGATTTCGAGTCAATCCCAAGCCAAATTTAAGATGGTGGGTTGATTTTGAGAAATTTGGGTTAGCAGGTCAGTTTCAAGTCAATTTTGGGCTGGTGGCTCAGCCTAAACCCGACCCAAAAATTTAAACTGGTTAGTATTCTTGACCTGAATTCGGCCCAATAATTATTTGGATCAACCAAAACTCGAACTTTTTGAGTCTATTTCAGGTCAAGTTGATGTGTCGGGTCATATTTTGACACTTCTGGTTCACTTTTAATGAATAAATGTTGTTTTCTAACTTGTATGCTATTTATCTGTCAGATGATATATGCTTCATTAGATACTGGAAACTTTTATGTGATTTCTGGATCTCCAGCTGATGTCTGGGCAGCAAAAAGACTCATCAAATCTCGTCGGCATTCTTTACGGGAAGAGTATGGATTCCATGATGATGATCTAATAATTACTATTATTGGGAGTTATTTTTTCTATAATGATATTCCATGGAGCTATGCTGCAAGCATTTTAACTCTTCAGTTTATGAAAATTATGAGAATAAATGATCTTGGAGGAAAATTGAAGTTTGCTTTCTTGTGTGGGAACACAACTGATTCTTTTGGCTCTGATTTTGAGGTAATTGTTATTTGCAATTCTGGTGCTTGTGAATCTAATATTTCTGCTCAATGCTAAATTTATATATGATTACAACATTCACACTTCAAGAATGTAAATTTCTTAAAACCGATCATTTTAAATTTGTTCTGCAAAAATTTTGAGCTTATCCATTTTATTTTACATTTCAATTGGTTTTCCCTTTTTAGTTTTTATTTTGATAATGTCTATATTAGTAGCCTTTATTGAAATTGCAAGATTTCTGTTGACAGTGATTTTAGCTTATTTCTGTTGTTAGAATACATAAGTTTTTTTTGCCATTTTGTTTAACGGTGCTTATTTGATAAATCTTCATTGCATTTGTGCTGAAGAGATAAAAGCTATCATTTATTTCCTTATTTGATTTTTTTCATCCCTTGAATTCCTCCTAGTCCTCAGTATAGCCTCTGAAAAGACTACCCAATTGGCGATGGGAGAAGGCTTTGATTTTAACCATGTTGAACTTTAAATTGAAAATTTTCATTTAAATTTTTGGAAGATTTACACATACATACCTCTCAACTTTTATGTATTTACGTATCTAAGCCTAAACTTCAATTTTCACACACACAGATATATATGTATATATATATATATATATATATATATCACACACACATGCCACCTTATCTATGCATGGAAATGAGTATTTCCCTTCACTTTAAAAAGTTAAAATAGTGGCATTTTTTTGTGATATGAAATATATGGGCAGTATAAATGAGAAAAAGAAAATTTAGGTATTAGATATGTAAATGCATAGGAATTGGGTGGTATTTATGTAAATGCCCCTAATTTTTTTTGTGAGAAGAAACAGACTTTGTTTGTTTTTTTCCTTCTTGATTCTCACTCCTATTTTGTTGTAACAGAAGCTTGCTTCTCGTATGGGTTTTCCTCTTAATTCTATAAAGCATTATGGTATGGATGGAGATGTGAATGGTGTTATAATGATTGCTGATATAGTCCTATATGGGTCCTTCCAAGAGGAGCAGACCTTTCCGTCGCTTTTAGTGCGGGCCATGTCTTTCCAAATCCCAATCATTGTTCCTGATTTCTCTATCATAACTAAATATGTAAGTGTAACTGTCACGTGTTTATTTGTTGGGGCATTTACATAAATAGCTCACAATTCTTATGTATTTACATGTCTCATACCCAAACTTCCATATTTACACATATAGTACTCAAATCTTTTATATTACATAAAAAATAGTACTATTATTACTTTTTGAGAGTGAAATATGTCTTTTCATGCATAGTTTTAAAGCGCCGGAGTGCTATGTATGTAAATATGAAAATGTAGGTGTGAGATATGTAAATACATGAGAATTGTGTGCTAGGTAGGTAAATTTCCTTTTTTTTAGCATGCAAGAAGTGGAAAGTGGGAAGAGGGGAAAGAGGTCATTTCAACTGCTTGCTTAACCGGGAAAGTGAGAAATGCTTCCTCTTAGGAAATCGGTTAGTTCATTAATAGCTTTTTGACTCATATGCCTTGAAGTCAAAGTTTGGAAAGTCATTAATTATGATTATCTTACCTTCTTACTATTATACTGCTACTCATATACACATGAATACAAAATTTATTTTTACATTGAAACAATATAATTTAGGAAGATATACATGCATACCACACAATTCTTATGTATTTACATGTCTAGCAACTAAATTTTGATTTTCTTGCATTTATAGCACTTTACCTACATGAAAAATTGTATTTTACTTTTAAACGTTAGTCATAGTGATATTTTTGATGCGATAAGAAATATTTGAGTGTTATAAATATAGAAGTCAAAGATTTGGTGTTACATAAGTAAATATATAGGAATTGTATAGTATGTATGTAACTTCCCCTATAACTTATAACAAAATATACTGAAATAAATTTTACAATTTTATAGACAATAATTAATGCTAAATTATTAATTCTACTAAAATAGTGAAGATGTAATGCATAGTTTACTGGATAATAACTATTAATTTACTATGATATAACAAGTATAATATTGAATAAAAACTTTTATAATTCTTAACGGTTTTTAAATTATTAAAACATTTTTTTTGTGTTTGTATAAACACACAATTACATATTACTAATTATTGTAAATAGCATATCTTTAAGACAATAACACTCTATCGACACACTTTCATTCAATCTATGTAACTCATCTCTTAAAAAGCCTTTCACCTTACATTTGTAATTTAAGAGAAGATTGCAAACAATTTAAAAAATAACATGATTTACCATAAAGTATCGGTGAGATGGGGAGCACAAAATCGGGTATGCTTAGCATTTCTCTTTAAATAATCCAGTAAAGTGCAAAAATAGTCCTCTAGCTATTTACATAAGGCCTTCCTAGTCCCTAAGTCTGTAAAGTTGTCAAATTAGACCTCATGCTCTTTTAATATGTGGGCTCAAGTAGTCCCCATATAGGAGTAGAGAGGTAACTAAATTGTCACTTTTTTAGACTATGTGACTAAAATAGCCCCTACAAAAACTCGGTTGACTATTTTGACACTTTTCTCTTACATAATACATATTTTAATACATAATATTTTAGAGCATATAAAGTTACATAACAAGTATGTTTTTATCGGTTGTATTTATATCTATTAATTTTAGTATATTTATTGGGGAAGTGTCTACTCTCAGCTGATAATTAAATAATCTTTTAAGAAGTGACTTCCTCTACTTTTATTTTCAGAAATGGCGAGTCTACTTACTTTTATGGATGGATAAGCAGACATATCCTAAGTGAAATTCGAACTACCTGTCTTCCCACTCTCCTCTCTCTTTTAATTGTTTTGTCCTATAACTTTTAGGAAGATTTACATACATACCACTCAAGTGTTAGGTATTTACATATATAACATCTAAACTTCAATTCTTACATACCACCTTACCTATGCATGGAAGTATATTTTAGTTTTTAAAAGTTAAAATGGTAGTATTTTTGATGTGATATGAATATTTTGGGTGGTAAAAATGTAAAAAGTAAAGTTTAGGTGTTAGATATGTAAATACATAGGAATTGGGTGAAATATATGTAAATGAACCTAACTTTTCTTGAAGCCCAACACATTTCTATGTTTCGTTAACAGATTACTTTTCTGAATTTAGCTTGGCATTACAGGTTAATGATAAAATACATGGTCTAGTTTTCCGCCCTCATGATATAGACACCTTGGCCAGTGCTTTTTTACTTCTTATAGAAGATAAAAGGCTGTCAAAACTGGCCCATTCTATTGCTTATGAGGGGAGATTATTAGCTGAGAATATGTTCGTATCAGATTGTATCAGCGATTTCGCAAATCTTATAGAAAGTTTGCTTCAATTTCCATCGGATTCATTCCTTCCAGGGTCAATTTCCCAAATTAAGCAACAAACATGGTCATGGGATTTGCTTGACAACGAAAATTATCAAAGCAACCTTCCTGCAATCCAAAGAGAAAGCATCATAGATATACTCGAGGAAGAATTACCTCGCAAATCTCAAATAAGTCCACTGGTCTTTAATGAATCTGCTTCACCGGAATTTCCCACTCAATTTGATTGGGATGATATCAGTCAGATGGAAATTGCTGAAGATTTTGAGAGACTGGAAATGGAGGAGGTTAGCTGCGCAATTTCGTTATTGTGAATTTAGTTGTTAAAAAAGTTTCTTTATTTTCAAGTATCGCAACCAGTGTCTATATTGTAGGGGTGTGCATTTGGTCGGTTTGGTTGATAAGTTTATGAAACCAATTGGTTTCTGCTATCTAAAAATTTTGACCAAACCAAAATAAAATTTGGTTCGATTATTTTGGTTAAATTGTAGTTAGCTATATTCAGAGATTATTTGCGCAATTTATATATTATGCAGGTTTTTATTACATAATTGATAAACAATAGACATTGAAAATTTGTAATTAGAAAAGCAATTGATTGCTGTTGAAATTTGGAATAGTCTAGCTCAATTTTTATGATACGAGGGGTATTTAAACCTAATTGCAATAGGTTTAATAATGAAAAACAATAGAAACAAAATAAAATAATTAGGATAGAAAATAAAATAAAAAATACATAATCAGGGGATGAGATTAAATAATTAGTAATAATGACGTATGAATAGCCGTTATAATACAATACTCCCCCACAAGTTGAAGCATATTGTCAGTTATGTTCAACTTGGACTTGAAGTCATCGAACAAAGGACAAGACAAATTCTTGATGAGATGTCTGCTAGTGGACCACTGGATGACACATATGAACATAAATCTCTTCGGACTCAAATCTTTTTTTTAATGAAGTATCTGTCGATCTTCACATGTTTGGTACGATCATGTTGAACTGGATTGGGAGCAATGCTGATTGCGACCTTATTATCACATAAGAGCTGCAGCAGGACGAAAGTTGGCGTACGAAATTCACAGAGCATGATGCGTAGCCAAAGAGCTTCACAGATTCCTAAGGACATGGATTGAAATTCAGCTGTAACACTGCTTCGGGAAATCACAAACAATTTCTTTCTTTTTCACGTGACAAGATTGCCCCATACAAATGAGCAATACCTGCCGATCATGAATTGATCCGACCCGATCAACATCTGCATAAACAACAATAAATCAAGAGACGTGATGATAAAAAAACAAACCTGAGCTCGATGTATCTTTTAAGTGGTGGAGAATCTGGTGGACAACTTGGAAGTGATGCTCGTAGGGATCATGCGAGAATTGACTCACTGTTTCAACTGTGTGGCATATGTTGGGGCAAGTAGAAGCCAGGTAGACCAGTTTTCCTACAAGGTGCTGGCAATAAGTTTTGTTGAAAGATACATCATTGAAAATATTATATAATTTTTCATTAAGATCCATAGGAATAACAATAGCTTTGGTTTTCTGTCAAGAGATCAATCACATATTTGCGTCGAGACAGACAAATTCCCCGAGAGGATCTAGCCACTTCTATGCCTAAGAAGTACCGAAGAGATCACAAATCCTTCATCTCGAAGTACGAAACAAAAATGTCTTTCACGGACTAATGCTAGGAGATGATTACCTGTAAGAGCAATATCATCGACATAAACAATAAGGATAGCTACCTGGCCATTGGAGGATTGCCAAAAGAAGAGAGCGTGATTTGATTGAGCCTGAGTAAAAACATGGCCGACTACCATTTTTGTGAACTTGTCGAACCAAGCCTTTGGGGACTGCTTTAGCTCATAGAGGGACTTTTGCAGCCTGCACATAGGGGATCATTTGTAGGAGTAGGATAAGGGACAATGTCAGTGAACTCAAGATCCCTCTCACTAGAGGCCGAGCTAGAAAAATAGGAAAGACTTTCAAAGAAAGAAACATCAACGCTTACATAGATTTTACTTGTGGTCATATCAAGACACATATACCCCTTTTGAATGTTGGATTATCTGAGGAAGTAACATTTTATGGATCTGAGATCAAGTTTGCTTCGAGCAAGACCATTGTTCCGAAAAAAAGCACTACATACAAAAAAACTTGGGATCTAAAGTGGAGAAGACTCGATTGGCAGGGAAGCATGACATTTGGATGATTAAGGGGGCTCAGATTTTGTGGATTTTGGAGTGGACTCAATTTGTGAGATAAGTGGCAGTTAGAATGACATCGTTCCAAAAACGTGTCGGGCATGGGATTGAAACATAATGGAACGAGCAACGTCGATGATGTGACAGTTTTTCCTCTCGACTACCATTTTATTGAGTGTCATGCAAGAATTATGGCGGAGAATGCCTTTACTTACCAAAAAATCACTAAAAATAGAGATGAAAAACTTTCGATCATTATCGGCTCGAAGGACCTGAATAGGAGTTTTGAATTTAGTTAAGACAAAGGTGTAGAAGTTTTTGAAGGTCACAATGACTTTTGATTTGTCTTTTAATATGTAGGCTCACGTCATTCGAGTGTGGTCATCAATTAAGATCAAGAAGCAATGTTTATTGGTGTAGCTGAAAGTGCGAGAATTTCCCCATATGTACCTGTGAATGAGGGAGAAAGTAGCATAAGGTGTGTAAGTGTGAGGTGGGTAAAGAAACCAGTGATATTTGACTAACTGACATGTCTCACAATTGAAGTTAGAAAAGTTTTATTAAAAAACATCAGAGGATATAAAATTTTTAAAATTTGAAAATTAGGATGACCTAAACTACAATGTAACTACATAATGGGACATTTGATGATTCAAGATAGGCTACAACCTTTGAGTGTCGTGTCTTCACCCTCCGTGATGTTTTCTTGGAAGTAGTAGAGTCTAACTACCCTTTTAGTAGTTTCAATCATCCTCTCCGAATGACGATCCTAAAAAATACAACCATCAGAAGAGAAATTAACAACACGATCAATATCACTTGTCAACTGATAATAAGTTACATTACAATCGGGGAACATATAAAACAGACTCTAGAGTTAGATTTATCGACAACACAATTGATCTCTTAAGAACATGGGTAGTAAGTTGAGAAAGTTTGCGAGTAGCTAATAATGTGATCCGTGACACCTGAATCAATAATCCATTGACTAGCAGAGGAATAAGCTTGTTTAATATGGGAAGGTCGATGGACCCACAAAGACTTGATTGGCTCCAAGAAGCTTGATAAATTACTCCATCTAGTTTTTTAGGAATTCAGAGGACTCTGGATTGTTCCGGGTAAGAGTTGGTTGAGTCGTGCTTAGTTCGGCCGTCGTCGCGAGTCCCTTGGCATTAGAGGATTTGGTCGAGGGTTTATATGCCGGCTTACCATGAAGTTTCCAACACTTGTCTCGAGTGTGGTTAGCCTTGTGACAGTAATCACAAATGGGTTGAGCACTATTTGAGATCTAGAATGATGATAGCTGAAGGAGTAGAGGTGTCCAGCACGACAAGTTTCTTGCTTTCTTTCCGACAAATTTCAGTGAAAGCAATGCGAGCGGAAGGAAGATGATCCAAACGAAGAATATGGGCCCGAACCTCGTTTAGGTCTTTGTTAAGAACAACAAGGAATTGGAACATACGATCATTTTCTACGATCTTTTGGAAGAGGGATAAATTGGTTGGAGAATCTCAATTGTAGTCGTAGTATAGGTCGCATTCCATCCATAATGCAACGAGGTCATTATAGTTTTGGTCACGATTTTTAACCCCTGTTTTGCCTCTGAGGTCTTTTTAGATACCTCTTAGAGTTGTCCAGAATTTTCTACATCCAAATAGGTATCATAGACAACTATCCAGAGAGCACTAGCTGAAAGAAGGAATATGTACGAACGACTAATTGACATTTCCATGAAGTTGATTAGTCATGACATGACCATGGATTTCTCCACCTCCCAAGCTCCATATGTCGTGTCGGTCTTTGGAGGCTAACGAATCATACCTCTGAGGTGACCGGACTTCCCACGTTCTTTGATGAACGAAGAGACCGCTCTGAACCATTGGGGGAAGTTTTTGCCGTTCAACTTATGCGTTGTTATAAAAAAAATCATGTTGACTTCCTGTCCTCCGGTCAGCATGGGAGTGGGATTTTGAGTCGATCTTCTAGTGGAGTCAAAAACACCTTTTGAGGATGATTCATTTCATTGAAAGAATCAACTATAATTTCGACCGAGCCAAAGGATATGCTATTGTGAACCATCGATGAATTTCAGTAGAATCAAGTGAAACAAATACACTTGCAGGACTTGCAAATAGCAAGAACCCTTCCTGCAGACTAGCGACAGAGGGAGCATTAGATACCACACTGTGATTCAGTGGCAGAAGGAGCAGGTGATCCAGAAGGGGATACCATGCTGTGCTTCAGCGGCAAAACCGCAGAACACGTGCTTCAGCGGCATAAGCAGGGTATCTAGCCGGGAATACCACACCGTGCTTCAAAGGCAGAAGGAGGCTAGACATGGTGCTTTAGATAGGCTAGTTGCTTGAACCTGTAGGGAGCCCGACTGCTAGGGGAAGGCGGCAGCTGTTGGAATCTGCAGAGGAGGCTGGGGATTGTTGGATATCTAGGGCTAGACTTTGATATAATGCTGAAATTTGGAATAGACTAGCTCAATTTTATTGATAGGAAGGGTATTTAAACCTAATTACAATAGACTTAATAATGAAAAGCAATGAAAACAAAATAAAATAACTAGGAAAGAAAATAAATAGAATAAAATAAAATAGGAAATAAATAAATAGGGAATGAGATCAAATAATAAGCAATAACGGCATTGGAATGGAGAAGGCAAACAAAACCAAAAATATGAATTGCAAAATGGGTTTTAATTTATCACCATTTAATCATTTTTTTTTGGTTTTATCCAAAATTGTGATTCTCAAACAGATCGAAAAAACGGAAAATCAAATATCTCACTAATCAAAACCAATATTTGAACCTCTAATTTTAAAGCTGAGAGAAACCCGCCAAAGAAGTGTGGCTCGGTTAGGTTTTTCTGTTATAATCAAATATTGCACACCACTTCTAAGAGGTTATTTAATCTTCTTACCATCTTACATCTGTTTGACTGATCTGTAGATCTCAGAAAGAATAGAAAGAGATTTGGGATCTTGGGAGGATCTATATCACAATGCTAAAAAGTCTGAAAAGCTTGGATTTGAAGCGAATGAGCGTGATGAAGGTGAACTGGAGAGGACCGGGCAATCATTGTGTATCTATGAAATTTTCGATGGGGAAGGAGTATGGCCATTTCTACACCATGGCTCTCTATATCGTGGTATAAGTCTTGTATGTGCACTACTCCATATATTCTGACAATTTGCCGATCATGGCCTTGCACCTTTTTATGACCAATTTTTTTCTTACACCTTTACATTTGGTACCTTTTTTTTTTTAATCTATTATACCAATTGACATGTTAGAGAACTTCAATTTTTTATTTTGTTGTACTGCCTTTTCTTAATAACTTTGTAAGGTGCCTTTGTTTTCTATTTCCTGCATCTTTTTTTGATAAAATATCGTCTGTGCTTAGGCGGAGGGTTAGGAGGATCCCTGCTTGTTTATTAATGAGAAAAGGACTAATATAAAGACTAGACATGCTCCAAATAACAAAACCTCCAAATAACAAAACTAAATATCTTAAGATTCATAATTTGTTGGGAATTAGCATCACATAAAATTAAAGTTCCGGCAGAAAATTGTATGCTATGCTAAGAGGATCTGACAAATTATATTTGCACCTCACGTCCAACCATAATTAGCAGGAAAGTGAATTAATTTATGAAGAATATTAGTGTTAATTTTTCAAAAAAGGAGAGACAAGGTCACTTTGCCTTATCTCCCTTTGGCATCTGAATTTTTACCCAATTTCTCATTTACAATAATGATAGCATTAGCACAAATCAAAGTTTCCTTAATCCAAAGAATATTTTTTGTTGAAAATATTTTTTAGCAAGAGTGAGGAGAATAAAGTTCTAATCTTGGAAATCAATGGCCTAAATCCATTTTAAAGTTGAATTTCACATCCTTCTTAAGGGTGAATGAATAATTTTATGGGCTAAAATGATGCATTTCGTGGAATCTATACCCAAAATGAAAGTGCCTACGAGGAATCCAACAAAATGGGCATGTCTTTAGAAATATTATTAGCGAATATTTTGTTATGTGATATTATACACTTTTGTGAATATTTTGTTATGTGACATTAAGCAGGTTAATAGGTCTGAAATCCTTAACCAGATCACAACTGTGATTTTTAGGAAGAGGAAATTTTCGTCGAACAGTTTTTAAAAGTCTTGCCATTATGATGATCATTGAGTATAAGCAAAAAGTCATTTTAATTGTCTCCCTACATATCTTTAAAAAAACGGAATATTTACATACTTGCCACTTAAGCTTCAATTTTTACATGCATTTCACCTTTCCTGTACATTGAAAGGTGTATTTCAATTTTTAGAAGTTACAATGGTGGTATTTCTTATGAGACAAGAAAGATTTGGGTCGTATAAATGTAAAAAAGTAAAGTTTTGGTGATAGATATATAAATACGTTGGAATTGGGTGATATTTATGTATGTAAGTTTACCCTCCCATTGGACATCTTCTGAAAATACAAGATGTGTTTTTATCTCCCTCTGAATACCAATTCTATTCTAAATACTGATTCAAGTTAGCCATTCTGTGCAAGCAGTTTTCCCCTTTTTCATTTCGGGGCATTTCATACATAAGACACAATTCTTATATATTTGCTTATCTAGCACCTAAACGTTCATATTTACCTGAATACTACTCAAATACTTAACATACATAAAAAATACTACCATTGCTATCTTTTTAAAAGTGAAATACACATTTGCATGCAAAAATTTATGATAACAAGATTTTCTAAGTGTAAATATGAAACTTTTGAGTGTTAGATATGCAAATACATAAGAATTGTGTGGTATGTTTGTCGGTCGCCGGAATGGATATCCCGATGCCCGATTTTAAAAGAAGTTTATTTTAATTTATATATATAATTTGGAAAAAGTAGTATTTTAATTATTTTTGAAGTACGGACCGAACTGATCTCATATCTGTGATAGTTTAAATGATCGAGCACAACAATGTGCTTAATACATCTATCTAGAGGAACAAACATATTACTTACTAATGCGACTCGATTAAATAAACTAAATATTTTATGACATCCGTTTTAGTCTGATAACTTTTATATTGACCGACAAGTTCCCCTATTTAATACGGGAGATTAGATAAAGTTTATTTTAAACTGGGTTCTTAAGTTCCCTGTAGAGACAAATCTCTATAGTTAATTACATTTTAAATGACTGAAATCTCTTAAGAAGAATCTCGATTAAAATAAATTACATTTTAAATGACTGAAATCTCTTAAGAATAATCTCGATTAAAATCAGTGGTTCTATCTTCAAGATTGCAAAGTTTAGGTTTCCAAAGTTAAATATAAGGAAATAAAAAGGAAATGGCTTAAAAGAGGAACAATTATTTTCATGTCAATGAAGTGAAATGGAGGGGATGCCACATATCCAGTGAGAACCCCGGTGACTTCTTAACTATCGTACGATTGGACCTTAACTCTAAGGAGACATCCTACGCCTCGTTGTCGTGTCTCGATCGCCGCCCTCCGTCCGCTTGCTTCCACGCTCTGCTTTTGGAAAGGCTGCTCTAAGCTCCCTAACAGATTGATCATAAGTTCAGGTTTGCGGTGTGCATAAATGTACAGTTATTGGGTCAGTGGTCGCTACAGGGTACCTCCTAAACCGGGTGTCCTACTGGCCTCTAACCTAAAAAGTCCCTTGCATGTCTTTAGAAGCAGGATTTAATTATAAAAGGGAACATGTTATGGAACGCAGTAAACAATAAACAGTAATATTACAGACATGAATTATGTGTATACACAGGAAAGCGTGCAATAACAAAAGTGAACGCTGTAAATGTAAAACAAGGGTCGACGACTCCTGAAAAGACTCGAGAAAAAGCGGAAGAAGATCCACAGTAAATTGAAGAGAACCGTAAAAAATACGAAGAAGATCCGAAGAACGGAAATCACAAGTGCTTTACAAAGATTTCGAGGAAACCGTAGGAAAACACATAAAAATCCGATTTCGATGAAACCATAGGAAATCACATAAAAAAAAATCCGAAGAAAGAAAGCCGTAAGCATTCGGGTCGGGCTAGACTCAGAATTAGGTATTCTCTAGGGACTCCGAAGGCAACTATCGGTCACCCGTATATATAGAACCCGACATTTAACTAGAAATGTGTTCTACTACACCAACTTCGATGGGTCCTTAGCCCAATACTAGCGATTGACAAGTGGATATTCGAATTTTGCTTTTTAAAATTTATATTTTGACACGCATATATAGGTTTCTTGTATAGAAGAAAAGTAGTATCAATTTTTGGTAGTCAAAATATTTTGAGAGTAGCGTATCTGTTCTTATCGTATCTGCTCTTATTATTTTATTTTTATTGAAAATATGATTATCCACAAGTTAATCGCACCGCTGGGGCTAGGATAGGATCACCATCAACCTAAGAAGGCAAGGGTGCTCTGCTAGTCTAGTGTTGGTGAATAATATCGTCATCTTACGTTTCACCGGTTCTCGATGTTGTAGGATGAAACATTATTCTGCTCTACCACCAAATGTCTTTATCATCAAGGCCTAATACCCCAAAAAGAACGTCCAACTTACGACCTTGCTTGATGGTTTTACATATAACCATAGCTATACGAATGCACTTATGTTTCGAACATAAGCACGTAAAATCCAAACCAAGAAGTAAGGAAAAAAAGAACCAAAAAGCAAGAAATGCAAAAAGAAAGAAGGCTAACCCGTCTCCAAAGACAATTTAGAAAGAAAAGCCAAAGTGGTAGGAGGATTAGCCTAAAACATCAAACTGGTGGTACTTTTCGATTGAGCAATGAGATGGGCACATCCCCAAGCCTAGCTAGGAACAATCCTGAAATGCACAATTTAGAGTCCTCCAAGCTACCCAAACCGTTCTCAAATATATCAAGATTTTCTTTTCATTTTTTTTCTTCTTTTCTTCTTTTTTTATTGCAATCAATTCAGCCCGCATAATTGGGCCCTAATCGGGCCCTAATATATCTCCAAATATTTAGCAAATCATTCCTCAAAAAGAGGCATTTGAATTCTTTCAAATAACAAGAATCAAAGTATTCCATTTTACCAACATTAAAGCATTCAATTCCACCTCGAGCCAAAAGCTTTCAATGTCATATGAACCCAACATCATTCAAAGAATCCCATATAAGTGCTCACGACCAAGGTAGCAAGGGGCCCAGCCTTCAAACAGGTGCACAAGAGAACCAACAAACACAAACAAGGGGGCTCTCGGGTAGGAGCAGCAGGAGGAGCCACCAAACCCAAACCAACAGCCACAAGCTCATGGGTAGGAGCTGCAGAGCCCAAACCAAGCAGAAGAAACACAACAGGAAGGCTCACGACCAGGGGCAAGTAGGAAGGAATGCAGGCCCACACCCACACTCAGGAGATAGCAGGAAGGTCCATGGCTAGGGGAAGTAGCAAAGGGGAAAGCAAAGCCCAAACCAAGCAGAAGAAACACAATAGGAATGCTCACGGCCAGGGGCAACTAGGAAGTAAAACCAAGCCCAAAACAATCTCCGAAGTTTTAAAAGAAAATCAAATTTTCATCCAACATATATTTCAAATAGGGAAGCCTCAACAAGAAATGAAGCTAAACCCCAAAACCACTGCTCAAAACATCAAACAGATTCCAGTATGCATTCGAATAGGAGCAGCAACAGGCAGGGAGCAAAACCGAACCAAAACCGAACCACTAAAAGAGTTGCTCAAAGCAAGAAATAATCCCAACATGTATTCGAACAAGAGCAGTAGCTGAAAGAGCAAAACCGAGCCACCAAACAACTGCTCAAAGCACTAAAAAAGCATTCTAACATATATTCGAATAGAGGGAACAACTGGATGCAAAATCCAGCCACCAAACTAAACCTCCAAGAGCCCCAAAATCAAATAAAAGCCATCTGAATATGTTTCCAGTAGGAGGGCAACAGGGAAGCACGAAACAAAGCCCCCAAATTAAAATCTTCAAAAGCTTCAATATCAAATCAGTACAACAAAGGCAACCGCAACCCATAGGGCTAGAACAACCTAGAAATCCTCCATGTTAAACCCAGGCAACAAGGAAAAATGCAGCCCAGGAGGCTAAAACAATCCTCAAACTTCAACTTACCAACATATATGTGATAAGAACATAAGGAGGAAGCTTACACATGCATAAGAATTAAACCATGTCTTTCATTAGCCTACATTCTTAGCTAAGTACCATGGAATATTTAAAACGGGCCTAATAGCTTGTATTTGAATTGAAGTTAAAATCTAACAGCTAGCCATGATTCCAGCATTAAATGTCATCAGGAACATTAAATGTCATTTAAATGTCATCAGGAACAAAATAAATCCCCCCTATGCATGCATTCCCCTATTTCAACGCCTCCAGCATGTGTCGAGCAAGGAAGAGGAGCAGGATGAGAGCCACGAGAGAGTAAACATACCTTGCTCGGGCTTTTGTAATCAACAAAAGAAAGTCACGACACTCCTAAACCTCAAGCTCACAAGCAAAGCCACAACACTCCCGGACTCTAAGCTCACAAGCAAAGCAATAAACCTCAAGCTCACAAGCAAAGCCACAACACTCCTGGACTCTAAGCTCACAAGCAAAGCAACAACACTCTCGGACTCCAAGCTCACAAGCACCTAGTCGAGAAGAAATTTCCGCAGAATCTCCCATCCCTCCAGCTTCGTAGCCTCACAGAGAACTCTCCCCGCCGAGTTTTATCGACACCAGAAAAAAGGAAAGAGGAGCTCGCAGGACTTCTCTTGACGAAGTTTGACACCCAGCCAAAAGAAAAAGAAACGCAGCAGTCGAAGCCACAACAAAGAAAAATCGGGAAGGAGGAGAAGTTTCCCCATTCGTGACCCAGGAAACACACGCACCCAGTCAACCTACCCCGAATGAGCTTCCGTGCAGTGAGACGAAGCAGAAAGCTTCGAAAAGAGAAGATGTTGAGGGGGGAAGATTCAACTCCTCGTTACGCGAATGGAGTGGACCAACACGAAGGAAGGCACGATTAGGGCTAAATCCCAGAGACGAAACCAAGAGGGGCCGCGAGCGAGAGGAGCTTGGGCTCCGATTGGGACCGGAATCAAGCAAGGACCGCGACAAATTAAGGATTTTCCTCGTAATAAAAGACCCCATCGGTCTTTTATTGTAACGTACTCCCCACAAGGTATAAATCAAGCGAATTGCGCACCTCTCGCTCGTGCACAAAACCATATCTAAGTGGGAGTCCTTTCTAACTAAAGTTGACGTTTTAGATGCTCCGGCGCTGTCCGTTTCGTCATCCGGGATCGTCCGGACGACCTCGTCGCTGATCAGGTCGAAAACACATCAAATTCAAATTCTAATAATCGCTTGTGATCGATTGTAAAGCCTCTGACGGGTGCGGGAAACGTGAATCTCGATAATTGTGTGTGTCGCTGTGTGCACTGTGGTATTCATGCATCCTGCAAGCGTGCGGAGATCGCAATGGGTTTTCCTAGGGTTTCATATCCTAAGGGTACTCGACTCGAGTTTCGTCGCCCTGGTTTTAATCGACTCAACTAAGTGTTGAGGATTTTAGAACCAGTCACATGAAACTGTAAGGAGTCAAGCAGTGGCTCGAATTTCTAATTGGTGTGGGCCCTAGGCTAGTTCTCTAAGAGAGTCGGTAGGAAACCCTAAAGGCTAGATCCTAGGCTCTAAGAAGAGGAAGAGACCTCGCCAAAAATGAGGTCAACAATGTATATATGTAAATTTCCCTTTCATTTTTTTTTAGAAGCCAGAGTTTATGCTTTTCACTTTAGACGTTAGGAGATGTGTACCCGTCAGAGTTTATGCTTTTCACTTTAGACGTTAGGAGATGCGTTCGATGTACCCGTTGAAATCTTCTTTACTTGTTCTTCCTCCAAAGGTTCTAAAATGATTCTATTGTGTTCTTCCTGTTCGAAGAGTTACTAAGATTTGAAAAATCTCTCAATATTTCACTGCTTGTTGCACAATAAAATTGTAGAATAGCAACAGAAACAAATAAAAAGAGCACGTCTAGATAGAGCGCAAGTGGAAAAGAAAGAGAATAGATGGTTGTTGATGAAATATGAAAATTGCCAGCTTTTACGGCTCTGTTCTATGTCAACAACATTATTGTTTTTATGATGTAGTTTTATTAGTGCAAAATTCTCAGATTTTCCTTCCAGTTTTTTTCCCCCCATTTTTGAGCAGTTAATCCAGCATAAAATGTTATAAATTTCCTTTCTTTTTTTGAGCAGTTTATCCAGCTATTTTCCCTAAGTTATTGTGCTCTACGAATTTTTTTCTGTTAGTAATCCTGCCGATCATTTGAGTGTACATATAGTTCTTTAAAGGAAGATTTACATATATACCACTCAATTCCTATGTATTTACTTATCTAACTCCTATACTTGAATTAATACATAAATGTCACTTCACCTATGCATGAAAAGGTGTATACATTTTAAAAATTAAAATGGTGGTATTTTTTATTTTATATGAAAGATTTGGGTGGTTTAAATGTAAAAAGTGAAGTATAGGTGTTAATTATGTGAATACATAGAAAATTGGTTTTATGTAAATGTTGCTTGTTTAAATCACAAAAGGAGCACTTTAACAACTTTTGCCTATAAGGAAATACCCATTGTTTATTTGATATGAAAGATTTGGGTGTGTTAAATGTAAAAAAATAAAGTTTAGGTGTTAGATATGTAAATATAGAGGAAATTGGTCGGTGTGTATGTAAATACCCCTTGTTTAAATCACAAAAAGAGCACTTTAACAGCATTTACCTATTAGGAAATTGTAATGATGATTAATTTGGTTGGGCAATGAAATCATTGTTTTTTATGCGCTTGCTCTAAGCCTTTATTATGTTCTATTTGTAAAATAAAATCTCGTCATGATCAAACTATACGAGCTTTTTAATATTTTTTATTTAAGTTGCTTTGTTTATTTTGGTATATTAAGGCAAATCTCTTATTCTACAAATTTAACACCATTATTAAGCATTCAATCTCTGTATACTTAATAAACTACTTTCAGTTCACGAGTGAAATGGTTGACATTTTGAGAACTTTTAGTGTATTCTTTTATCAAAGAATGACCTCATTCTTAGGTTTCCCTTAGAAGGATCATGGGCAAGATCTGTATGAGTTGTTTTTTCCTAAGGCGGTGTGGCTGCACGTTAGATTTACGTTAAATAGAATTTATCAAATCTGGATACGTTAGATTTACGTTAAATAGAATTTATCAAATCTGATAAATCCAGATTTATCAGATCGAGTTTGTGACGTGAATAATTCATGAGTAATGGCATTAAATCTGAATTTACTTCCCAACAATGATGAAACACGAGAAGAGTTAGATGGAATGTGAACGGAGCATTGGATTTTTTTTTTTGGGTGTTTGGCTGGATTTAAGCTGAATCCATGATTAAATTCTATAAATAGTATGTTACCAAATACTGCCTAAAACTCTTTGCTGCGTATTTTTTATATGGAAGATTTATATACAAAACATTTACATATCTAACATCCAAACTTTAATTTTTACATACATGCCACCTTAATTTGGCATGAAAATGTGTATTTCACTTTTTAAAAGTTAAAATGGTGATATTTTTGTTTTGATATGAGAGATTTAGATGGTATAAATGTAAAAAATAAAATTTAGATATTAGATACGTAAATACGGAAGAATTGGGTGATATGTATGTAATGCCCCTTTATATATATATGACAACCTTTACATTTCTGTGAAAATTTTTCCCCTTCTCCTCAATATTTGTAAGTTTAACGTTGGATAAATAAAATTTTGCAATACAAAAGTTATGCTTTTGAACTTTTTTGTTTTAAAATTGAATCTACCTCAGTCTAGAAGTGCTCGAAGGCCAAGATCAGACGATTTGGATGCAATTAGTCGGCTTCCAATTTTAAATAATTCGTACTATAAAGACATCTTCTGTGAATTTGGTGCCATGCTTTCCATTGCGAATAAGGTGGACAGCATTCACAAAATACCTTGGATTGGTTTTCAGTCATGGCATGCCTCAGGAAGGAAGGTGAGCACTTCTGTTAATTTTTGAGCCTGTGTGTCTTTTTCTTTGCTGAAGTACTTAATCATTGAACATCATTTAATTTGTGTCTTGTTTGACATTCACAGTATATCTTTTAATGTTAGAATTTTTTTCTTGTTCAATTTTTTCTTTGGAAGATTCACATACATACTACTCAATTCCTATGTATTTTCATAAGAAACACTTAAACTTCAATTTTTACATACATGCCACTTATGTATGAAAAGGTGTATTTTATTTTTTATAAGCTAAAAAGGTGGTATTTTTTTAGGACAGATGAAAGATTTGGGTGCTATGAATGTTAAAAAGTAAAGCTTTGGTTTTAGATATGTAAATACATAGGAATTGGGTGGTATGTACGTAAATTCCCCTTTCTCTTTTTTCCCCATTCATTGTAAGACTGGATTTAAATTAGGTTGCATTCTATTCGAATTTTAGTTGCATTTTAATAACTGAAAATTTGGTATTTCACTTTACACGGAATTTGTTCTTGATTCAAGTTTTTATTTGGTTGCTCAGAGTAAGAAATTGTATTTTTAAAATTGGTGAAATTTATCAGATCCATCATTGTGTTGGATTTTGTAAGAAATCTGTAGTATATTTGAACTACAAATTTCTCTCAAATGTAACGAATTCATGCAAAATAAGTGAAAAATAAATCATCCCATTTTGCTATCTACCAGAACTCTAATGAGCTTTTGTACTATTCTGCCATGCAGAATTCAGATTTATTCACAAAACTCTTTTTAACTTTGCATGAACGGATTCATTCAATGGAATCTATTTTGTGATAATAGGATTTTCCATGCGTGGCGTATTAGCAATAATCCTTATAGGGAATTACCTTTGTAATGTTGAAACTTAGTAGAATAAAAAAGAAAAAAATACACGGACAGAAGGTTCTGTGGTCAACGAAGAGCTTAATAATGCTGATGAAATAATTAACTCTAAGGGCATTTACATGCATTGCACACAATTCTTATGTATTTTTATTTCTCACACCTATACTTTTATATTTACGCACATAGCATTCAAATCTTTGATATCACATAAGAAGTAGTACTATTACGTATTACCACTTTTTTAAAAGTTAAATACATGTTTTCATGCATAGGTTTAAAGCACCAAAGTATCATATATTTAAATATGAAAGTTTAGGTGTGAGATATATAAATACATAAGAATTGCATGTTATGTTTGTAAATTTCCCTTAACTGATTTGATAGAAAATGAGCTTTGTAAGAGGAATGCTTGGTGACAATAACAAATCATGGAGACTTCAAAATAGGTTTTATCAAATTCCATGGCAACAATTATACAATAAGTGGAATTACTCTATAATAAATAAGTGTTTGTTTTGCATAAATAGGTTTTGTGCGCTTTACGATGCTTTGCTTATAAGTGTTATAGAAGATGAATGAATGTGTTTTGTCAAAATTGCAACGATGTGATGTGAAGAACATTAGAGTGAAGCAAAAATATGTGATGCATTAATTTTAAGCAATAAATTCATTAATTATTGTAGGTTTTGGGAGGGGAAAAATAATTATTTCTCTTCAATTCTATAGGAAGCAATTACGCGATAAATAGAAGGAGATAGTTCCGACATTAGGAAAATCATAAAATTAACCATAACTTCCTATGATAAAAGAAGAAAAAAATGAATTATAACATATCAATAATTCTAACTTATAAAAATAGAAAATACTTAATTAGAAGATACTAAAATTAACATTTTCATAAAATTCCAATACCCCCTTAGGTTGGAGCATAAATATTTATCATGCCTAAGTTGCTTATAAGGAACTCAAAACCAGACTTGAATAATTTTTTGGTGAAGGTATCTGCTATTTTTTTAGCAATAAGGACAAATGACATGTAAATTACTCCACACTCAATCCCATTTGTTATGAAACACGTATCAATCTTCACATGCTTTGTGTGATCATGCTGCATTGGATTTTCTGCAATGCCTACAACTACTTTTTTGTCACATTATAACTTTTTTGGCATGCTTATTTTGGAGAGAAAGGAGAGGCTGTTTTTCTGCTGTGGGAGGCTTTTAGGGAAGAAAAACTCTTCTAAAATCTTCTTAAAATCTTATTCTCGTGCGCTTGGGGTGTGGAGTGTTTGTGGAGTGCTGTTTATTTTGCCGAAAGTCCTCTCTAAGCTATATCTTCGGGTGCTTGTGGTGTGGAACATTCGTGGTTGTTGTTTCTTGAAGTCTTTAGGAGAAATATTTCTCTTGGAAGTGATTTTCCTGAAATTATCTTTTAATTTTATTTTAAATCTGCTGAAAAGAGGTATTATTCTCATTCTCCCTTTTCTATTTTATCTAGGTTGGCATGTTGAGGCATCTCTATCCTTTTGCAAAGGTTAATGGACGGATGGTTAGTTTATTTTGAAGTTTAGGCCTTGATACATGTTGGACTAAGTGAAAGGAAAGCATGTGAAAGCAAGATTTAGGCTTGTTTTGAGATTTAAGCAGGAGTAGTTTTCAGAAATATTTAAATTGAGCATAATGTGGTTGACTTCTTGCCTCTTGCTCGAATATATGCTGGAAATTATTTTTATGATTTGAAAAACATGTTTGGGGCTCAATTTCTTGTTTTTCTTGCTGCCCCTTGCTCGAATTTATGCTGGAAATTATTTTTATGATTTGAAAAACATGTTTGGGGCTCAATTTCTTGTTTTTCTTGCTGCCCCTTGCTCGAATTTATGCTGGAAATTATTTTTTTTTATGATTTGGAAGATATGTTTGAGGCTTATTTTTGTTCTCCTTGTTGTCCTTTATTCAAGTACATGCTGGAAAATTTTCCCCTATTTTTCCCATGTGGATAGGCTCGGTCTTGGCTTCATAATAGCTGAAAATGGCATTTCATTTAGCTCACTTGTTGGGTTCGGCTTTAACTCTTTTTTAGATGAATTTTTGCTAGAGATATTTGCATTTGTTTTGCCTATTTGTTGGGCTCGGTTTAGCCTCTATGTGCTCGATTTTGCCCTTTCTGCTGGGTTCGGTTTGCCTTGTGTTGGGTTTGGCTTGCCCATGTGTCGAGCTTGGTTTGGGCCTCTTTTGGACCAAATTATAAATGAAATTTTTTCTCTGTTTAGGCCTATTTGATTGGCTTGATTTTGGCTCTTTGGAATTGGATCTTGGCCGGAAATATTTTCATCTGTTTTATTTATTTGGAGGGCTTGATTTTGGCTCTATTAGACTGGAATTATGGCTGAAAGTTATATTTTGTTTTGACCCATTTGGTGGGTTCGGTTTTGATGCTTTTGGGATGAATGAATGCTGCAAACTGTTCTCTATTTTCTTACTTTTAATGGGACTCGGTTTTTGATCTCTTTTCGGAATGAATCCACACTGAAATTTTTTTCTCTGTTCTCCCATTTGGTGGGACTCGATTTTGACTCGACTTATCCCGTGTTGGGTTCGATTTGTGCTCTGTGTTGGCTTGGTTAGGTGCTTTTTGTAACCCAATATGTGGTTTGTTTTGGGTCCCTGTATTATTTTTCGAGGCGTCGAGCCTTTCGGTTGTGAGCTTCCCTGTGGGTTGATGACTTCCCCTTGCTGCCTTGGCTCTGAACTTTCATGCCTTGGTTCTTTGATTCTCTGTTGCTTGCCCTTGTCCAAGAAAACCTGTTTATTTTATTTGTCCCTTTGTGTTGGGTTCGATTGAATTGGAAACTCAAAATATAATGCCTCCTCCTCTTAAGATTTTTATTGACAATCAAGTTTGTCATAAAAAAATTCACGGTTTTGAAATATATCTATATAAGGTGATGTTTGGTACAAGTAAATTAATTTATTATCATGTCTTGTGTGATGAAAGTGGGTTCGATCTCAATGATGTATGATAGCTTCTCCATTCACTCTCTTATGTGTGTCAAATACAATGCAATGGTAGTATTTATGGTGATTTCTTTTTCTTGCTTTGGCCTTGAACATTACTTGGTGTTGCTGCCTTTGGGGCCTTCTTTTTGGCCCTTACCTGTGGGTCTATGCTGCCTTTGGGGTCTTCCTCTTTGCCCTTACCTGTGGGTTTATGCTACCTCTGGGCTCTTCCTCTTTGCCCTTACTCGTGGGTCTATGCTACCTCTGGGTTGTTCTTCTTGGCTCTTATCCGTGGGTCTGTGCTGCCTGTGGGGTCTTCCTCTTAGCCCTTACCCGTGGGTCTATGCTGCCTTTTGGGGTCATCTTCTTGACCCTTACCCGTGGGTTTATGCTGTCTTTGGGACCTTTTTTGCCCTTACCCGTCAGCTTGTTGAAGATTGTTTGGTTTAATTTTCGTCTCGGTCATGAGCATTGCTGCATTTTCTAAATTAATGTTATATTTACACAATTCTGGAAAGATTTCAATGGAGAATGAAGTTAAATGATTTTGACATCGGTATGATTTTCTGGAAGGCTGGGGAGTTTTTTTTTTTTCCATTAATTAGTGTCCCTTCTTTTTTGAAATGTAAAGGGCTTGTACAATTTCATTAGGAGAAAATATAGGGTTGATACAAATTGAATTCATGAAGGGTTTGGAAATTCATAAGATTGTCATTTGGAAAGGATACCCTTCTTGGTGTGACCCATTTATGAAATGTGAGAAAAATGATATTTTTCTTGGATTGATTCAAGGATCTTGGGTCCTCTTTACTAGGTCTTTTGCCACAGTTTTGAGGGCTGGTTCATCATCCGTTTCTTCGATGTTTTAGATGAATCAGTGCCTCCTCTCTCTCATCCCTTTTTTTATTCTTTTTTTCCTTGCTTCTTGGTTCAGTTTTCTGTGCTTATGTCTGATACATAAGTGCTCGTGTATAACATTTTGTTAGGTCGGTTTTGTTTTGGGGCTTAGGGCGATGATGACAAAGGCACACCGGTGGTAGAACATAATGATATCTCATCCTACAACACTAGGACTCAATTCTAGAACCTGATGAACTGTATGATGAAAGTTTTATTCACCGACATAAGACTATAGGGGGACCCGTAACTTCTTAGGTTGTTGGTGGTCCTAGGTCCGATGATGTGATCGACTTGTAGACAACTATACATTTTAAAATTGATAAAATAAATTGATAAGAACAAATACAATATTTATAAATAAAAAAATATATATTTTTTCATTACAAAATTAAAAAAAAAAGAAAACTTTTCTTTCGCTTGAAATATATATGCATGTCAAAACTTAAATTTTAAAAATATGTTACATTTGAGTTGTCCGTTTGTTGATCACCGATCCTGGGCTAAGGAGTACCCTTTTAAGTTAGGTTCAGTAGGATATTCTTCTAGTGGAGTGACGGGCTTTATACATCCGGGGGATAGTACAAATATATATTTGAGCATAGCCCCGACCCGAGTGCTTGCGGTCCCCTCTTTCCGGACTTTCTGTTTTATTAAAATTTTTGGACAAAACACTCGTAGTCTTTTCTCCGGGATTTTTTCGAGGTTTCGATAGTTTTATTTGAATTATTTTTCGTCAATTTTCCCGAAGTTTTCTGTCGTGAATTATTCGTCGATTTTCTTGAGTTTTCCAGACAATGTTTCTTTTGCTTATACAGTGAATACTAGTTACCTTAAAGGAGCAGCAAACCTGTCAAATATACATGTTTAATTTCCATTGCAGCATTTTATTTCATAGCACGTTATATGGTCTTCCTAGCCTGTTGTACTTTTCTCCTTGCATGTTATACTGTTCTTTCTCTTTACTGTACATTCTATTGTTCTTTTCTTTTATATTGCATGTTTTGTTACTTTGATGCACACTATATCTTAGTATAGGAAAACCTAGTGGTTAGATAGGATTAATAACAAACTTGGAGGTGCTACAACGAGGAGTTTGGAGCGAACATCGTGGGCAGCACGACGAGGCGATTTGTCTAGCGCATTCACATCCCTAAACACTTTCTTTAGCTTAAATAACACCCATACGATTTCGATGTGATTTGTCTAGCGCAGCATAAACCCTCACATATTATCTTTTAGGTTTTTGCACAACCCTGCTGTGCAATTATAAGTCCTAACACTTTAGTATTTCGAGGTTACCGTACTGTACGGTGTAAATTTTCTTATCTTTTTAGGCATTTGTTACGATCAGATATCGTGCAAACATAAGTCCTAAATTCTAAATAAATTGCAGTATTAAATATTAAACAACATCATTTCAAAGACATAAAACCAAACGGTAGGATAGTTGGGAGGTCACCGGGGTTTTCCCTGGATCTGTGATATCCCCTACTCTTCACTCCTTTGGATTCTTTAAAATAATTATTCCTATTTTGAGCCACTCTCATTTGATTTTTCCATGTCCAATTGTGGAAACCTAAACTTTAAAACCTTGAATGCAAAACCACTGTCTTAATCGGGAGTTTTCTTAAGTAAACCCAGTCATTTAAAATATAATTAACTATAGGGGTTTGTCTCTATAGGAAACTTGGAACCCAGGTAAAATAAACCATATCTAATTCTTATATTAAGCAGGGGAACTTGTTAGCTTTATATAAAAATATTTCGCAGGCTAAATGGATGTCACAAATTCTTTAGTTTAGGTGATTAAGTTCTTAATACAAATAATATGTTTATTTTTCGGGATAAATGTATTGTTTGTGGTATATTTAAAATGTGAGATACAATTGGTCTCACCTATTTTTAAATTAAAATGTTACTTTTAAAAATAAAAAAAATGTTATATTCATATTTAAATTATTTTCAAAATCACAAAGTCATCCCTTTTCATAAAATGAAAATAAAACGGCCGACATCTATAAATCTTTAAAACCTTGAATGCAAAACCACTGTCTTAATCGGGAGTTTTCTTAAGTAAACCCAGTCATTTAAAATATAATTAACTATAGGGGTTTGTCTCTATAGGAAACTTGGAACTCAGGTAAAATAAACCATATCTAATTCTTATATTAAGCAGGGGAACTTGTTAGCTTTATATAAAAATATTTCGCAGGCTAAATGGATGTCACAAATTCTTTAGTTTAGGTGATTAAGTTCTTAATACAAATAATATGTTTATTTTTCGGGATAAATGTATTGTTTGTGGTATTGTATTCAATCATCTAAACTATTTAAAATGTGAGACTTGTTTGGTCTCACCTATTTTATTTAAAAATTAAAATGTTACTTTTAAAAATAAAAAAAAAGGTTATATTCATATTTAAATTATTTTCAAAATCACAAAATCATCCCTTTTCATAAAATGAAAATAAAACGGCCAACATCTATAAATAAAAAAAAAATAGAAGATACTAGAATTAAAATATTTCTAAAAATCCAACATTTATAGTAAAGAGTTTTCCTTGCTATACTAGTTGCACAATTTGTTGTAGAAGTTCATTTCTTTTATATTTTTTAAAATTGGCAATGAACGGTGGTGTTTTTTGGTTATATAGCACACAATGTGCATAGAAAGCTCGTGTTTTTGTTAACTAAATTTAACAAATCACAATTAATATCACATCTATGAAGCACAAGCACGGGCACGGGGATATGAACATGGACACGACACGATACGAAGACACAATATATATAAAAAAAATAGGACACGACATGCCATGGGTACGTTTTTATAGTTAATTAATTATTAATATGAAATATATATTTTTTCATTATTTTTTATTAAAAATATAACAATACAAATTATACAAGAATAAAATTTAACTTCATAAATTTAATTTATATTATAAAATCTCGCGCTTATGAAAATTAATTTTTAAAATTAGATATAAATATGTTTCAAAAGAATTCATCTAACTTGCATATTAAAAGTTTAAAAGTTTTATGATTACAAAAAGAAAATTACTAATGCTCGGCTTCAACAAATATTGGATGCACTTTTGATGATCAATTTTAACGAATGTTAGAGGGAGCTTTAACATGATGATGTTGAAGAGGCAGTTTTGACTATGAGGTTTAGTTAACGTTATACGCATATTTATAATTTCTAATTTTTGTGTCCCACTTTCTCGAAATCGTGTAAAGTTCACGTCTGATGCGGTGTTGTGGTGTGTCCAATATTTGTGTTGGAGAAGTGTCGGGGCTTGTCGGACTATTGTTGGTGTCTGACACGGGTACGTCACATTTTTAGATGTTTCGGTGTGCTACATAGTATCAAATCATATTATACTATTTAACAAAAATCATACATATCAAAATTATGAGAAGATCTATGAAATTTTAAGGCAAATATTGATAAAAGGGGCTTTTATGTAGCACAAAATTCTTATGTATTTACACATCTCACACCTAGAGTTTCATATTTACACACATAGCACTTAATTCTTTAACATCACATCAAAAATAGCACTTCTATCACTTTTTAGAAGTAAAATACATCTTTTCATGATTATGTTCAAAACACCAAACTGCTTTGTAGGTATGAAATCTCAGGCGTGAAATGTAAATACATAAGAATTTCTAAATTTCCTTGATAAAAAAATATTACCAACAACAAAGCAATAGGACAGCATAGGATTTTAACCTGCCACTAAATCAAATTATATGAAGTCAGTGTTTCGCCACTTTCTCTGCAATTTACAATTTAAGCCCCTTTTTTTTTTTTTGCAGATTGATGCACAGCTTTAGTTCTCCCCGCACAATGCCTAAAACACTACTTTCTTTGCATTTTAAACAACATTGATCTTGTTACACTTTTGTTCTTCCAATTACATTTTAGAGGTTGGCGTTTGAGCTAAAGAGGACTTCTAAGCATTTATGCTTTCAATTTTATGTCTAAGCTATTATTAGCATTAATATCAGCAAAAACATTGTTTGCATGCATGTTTTATATTGCATACTTATTGAATTAAACGTTTTGTAGCCATTCTATTTTAATTCATGCAACTTTTTTTTTATATAAATTAAATTCATTTTCTGTTAGACTTGAAAATTGACAAAAAAATTGTCCATTCAACAGGTTTCTTTATCTGCTAAGGCTGAAGAAGTACTGGAGAATGCAATACGAGATTCGAGCAAAAAGGGTGCTATTTATTATTGGGTCCTGTTAGATACGGAATGGAAGAATGTAAAAGGAAATAGAAATGGTGATTTTTGGTCGTTGTGTGATGTAATGAACGCGGGAAAATGCAGGTATTTTTCTTACGAACTCTTCTTTTAAATAATCCAGTTAATTTTATTTTGTTTGGATTTTCAATTGCGTTTTCAATATTAATGTGTATGCATTTTAGATCCAGACTATGTTCTTTTAAAATCATGCCTATCTGTAGCATATACGTTTGGAAGATTTATATACATACCACTCAATTCCTATGCATTTACATATCTAAGACTTAAATTCCAATTATTACATATATACCGCCTTATCTATGCATTAAAAGCTGTATTTCAATTTTTAAAATTTAGATTGGTGGTTTTTTTTTTTTTTGTGATGTGAAAGATTTAGGTGTTATAAGTTTTAAAAAAAAATTGTAGGTGTTAGATATGTAAATACATAAGAATTGGTTGGTATGTATGTATGTACCCCTATATATGTCCACAGGCAGAGACATGAGTAAGCTCCTTGTAACTTGGCATCTAAGATGTTCTTTTAGTCCAACGTCCACCTAATTGTGAAGCATCTCATTTGAGCATGGTCACTTAAAATATTATGGAATATTTGAATATTATGAAAATTTAAGGGGGACTTCAAAAAATGTGTTTTGACTAACCATATTGTAAGAATTCATATCTGGTGTGTTGAAGAAGTACCAAGAACAGGTTATTAAATGAAAATATTAATATGGATGCATGAAATATCTTGAAAGTATAAATTCGAGAAAAAAAAACTATATAATGGAGTAGCAGTTATTGAAAATGAAGTAATGAAAAATTTAATTGCATAGGGAGCAGCACTTATTAAAGATCTAGTGAAAATAGCTAGGTAGTTTGAGCATGGATGTACCTATGAATAAAATAAATTTTAAATGATTGAAAAGAGAATATTGATAGGCAAAAGTAACATGAATAGTTGTTATACAAAATGATTTGTATAAAGTACGTTTTAAGTCTCAAATAACACTTTAAGCTGGAATGAATTGAGAATGATGATTCATTAAGTTATTAGGTACATTATTGTTATGAACTATAGTGCCTAAAGAAAAAGAAAGCAATGTGCATACCGGTGATTATATTTGAATTGACAAGAAACTATTGTTCTTCATTTCATATTTAATTTTCATCATAAACATATTGGTTAGATTATGAACAAGAGTTGAATCATTAGCATTTAACGTAATGTCAAAGGCAAGCACTGGAAAAGAAGTGCATTATATCTTAACCTATTCTCTAGAATATTTAATATATTTATCACAAGAGTGCCATCAAATTCTATCAAGATACATCAATATATAAAACTTCGTACTTTATCACATTATTGAGGTGAACTGAGGAAAATTTCTCCAAGTTTGGGAATAATTATTCCTAATTAGTACCATGAGAGGATGTTTACATCTCCAACCTACGTATGTAAGCATTTATATTCATATCATATCTTTTGTATCTCAGCATATTTTAAAGTTTATATATGAAGAGAATTGCAATTGTTCATGAAAAGGTTTACATAGGCAATTACAATAGCAGACGAAACCATATATTATATTTAAAATAATATGAAAAATCAATTGCTTTAAGATGAGATCTATCATTGAAAGATCATTTACAATAACATCATCCCCTGCATATCAAGTTTGGGAGAAAGAAAACTATCAAAGTTTCACCAATACAACGTTATTTAAAATTATTCTTAAAGATTGTGGAAGAAAAAGGCTCGGTCGAAGACAACTTGAGTAGTTGTGCGAAGGACTAGTGCAAATTAAGTAATGATTGAGATAAGGCTAATCATGTTGTTGTTGATCCGGGTGATGATGATGAAGATTCTTTTTCCATTTTAGAACAGCAATTCTAGGTTGTTGGTATTTATTTGGTTATCATGTTAGCTTTTATGATCACTACATTTATGCTTATTTTTTAGGAAAATTTACATATATACCTCAGAATTTTTTTGCATTTACATTTCTAACACCAAAAGCTTGAAATTTACATTTAAAACACTTCGGTATTAAAAACCATGCATGCAACGGTGTATTTCACTTTTAAAAAGTTAGTGATGACTGAATACGGTGTATTTCACTTTTAAAAAGTTAGTGATGACTAAATTTTTTGATGTGATGTCAAAAATTTGAGTGTTATGTATGTAAATAGAATTGTGTTGGTATTAAATATGTAAATATATAAGAATTGTATGGTATTTATGTGATTGCCCCAACATAAATGTCCAATCCTCCTTTTAATTATTTATTGGGGCATTTACATACATACCACACAATTCTTATGTATTTACTTATCTAACACCTAAGCTTTCACATTTACATGCATACCACTTGAATCTTTAATATCACATCAAACATACATTTTTAAAAGTGAAATACACCTTTTCATGCATAGGATTATGACACAAATATGTTAGAAGTGTAAATAGTAAGTATCAAACTTCAGATGATACAGATGTAAATACATAAGAACTGTGTGGTCTATATGTAAATTTCAATTCCTTTTTTTCTCTCCCTCTGTCAGTTTGGAATTCACAAATATCCAAAATATTTTGCAGAAGCGCTTTTGAGAGTGCCTTCAGGTCCATGTATGGGATACCCCTCCAAATCTCTAGCTTGCCTCCAATGCCTTCTGATGGTGGCCATTGGTCTGCTCTTCACAGCTGGGTGATGCCAACGTCCTCATTTCTGGAATTCATCATGTTCTCAAGGTACCTTTTTTTTACTCCTAAACGCCTTCCATTTCTGTTTATTTTCCTTTTATTTTCTTTTTGGGGAATATACATGTATACCAACCAATTCCTATGTATTTCCATATCTGCAACCTAAATTTGGCTTTTTTACATTTATACCATTATTTAACTTTTAGAAAGTGAAATACACCTTTTTATGCACAGGTAAGGTGGTATGTATGTAAAAGTTTTAGACTCCTAAAAGCCACCTAATGCTATTTACATACATACCATCCAATTCCTATGCAATTCCTTATCTAACACCTACATTTTCAATTTATATATTTATGCCGCCCAAATCTTTCATATCACATAAAAAATACCATCATTTAACTTTTAAAGAGTAAAATATGCTTTTTCATGCATGGTAAGGTAATATGTGTGTAAAAACGGAAGTATATGTGTTAGAAATGTAAATGCATAAGACTTGAGTAGTATATATATATGTAAATCGTTCTTTTTTTATGGCAGATTGGTAGTCATGTATAACCTCAATATCATGTATCGTTTTCATTATCTAATTATGACTTTTTTTCCTTAAAAAATATAAAAATAAATGAATAAACTTCTGTTACATGACCAATTTTTTTTATTTCTTTTCAGAATCTTTGTCGATTCGCTTGATGGCTTGTTCCGAGAAGGGAACTACAGCTCCATTTCTTGTTTTCTCGGATCCTCTGAGCTTGAGGTAAATAGAATAATGTTTTTGGAAGATTTACATACCTACCACTCAATTCTTTTATATTTACATATGTAACACCTAAAATTCATTTTTTACAAACATACCAGCTAACCTTACATATACATGAAATGAAAGGGTGCATTTTACTTTCTAGATAAAAAGGGCAGTTTTTTTTTATGTGATATGAAAGATTTGGGTGGTATGAATGTAAAATATCAAATTTTGGTGTTATATATGTAAACACATGAGAATTGGGTGGTATGTTTGTAGTCTCCCCATAATTATTTTAGCACAATATTTGACCAAACATTGATAATGATGAATTCCAATGCTCTTAAATCTGCGTTGGGAAGAGTGTAAGATTGATTACTTATATTTTGCACCCCTCTTAAAGCAGATCCAAATACCGGGATTCACCAAAATTTTAACTACATTGTCCCAACCCAATTTTTTTCCTAGGCATAATAAATTAATTAGGGGCATTTACAAACCTAACACTTAAAATTTACCTTTTTACATCAATACCATCCAAATCTTTCATATCACATCCAAAATACCTACCATTTCAACCTTAAAAAAGCGAAATAAACCCCTTCATGCATAGGTATGAAGGCATATGTGTAAAAATTAAACTTTAGATGCATAAGAATTGAGTGCTATGTATTTAAATCTTCCTATTTAGTATCCATGCAACGCACTCATCTCTTGCTTAAATTGTAATTTCTTTCATCATATCATTATAACTCGCAGGGAAGGCATTGCTATTGCCGCATGCTCGAAGTTCTCGTGAACGTCTGGGCTTATCATAGCGCACGAAGAATGTTTTACGTCAACCCAAACTCTGGGGACCTCGAAGAACATCATCCGATCATGAAACGGAGAATGTGGGCAAAATATTTTAGCCCTGAATTGATTAAAAAGATGGACGAGGATTTGGCGGAGGAAGCGGACGACGCAATGAACCCTAATGTGGGGTGGCTATGGCCTTTAACCGGAGAAGTGCATTGGCAGGGGGTGTTGGATAGAGAGAGGGAGGATAGGTATAGGAAGAAGATGGACAAGAAAAGAAAGATTAAGGAGAAGTTGTTAGATAGACATAAATATGGATACAAACAAAGAGCTCTTGGAAATTCCTAAAGATGAAACAAGAGAGGATAATTACATGCATAGCAATCAAAATATTGTTATTTATAAAACTAGCACCCCGGGGTCGATCTTTTGAGCTGCCGAATCGAAGCAGTTTACACTTGCCACCAGGATGACACAATAATGCCGTGGGAACTTGGTAAAAATGCAAAAGATGGGTTGGGGGTTTTACTGTGAATTTTGATGTTTGAGAGAGAATTTGAAGAAATGGTGCTAGTTTTGTAAATAGCGATGTTTTGCTACTATATATGTAACCATCAACAAAAAAAAAAAAAAAAAAAAAAATCTGAGGATTACTCAAAACTATTAGATTTGCTTTGAGATGAGTGCAATATAACTTTTTTATATATAGCACTAATCTTGAAGTAAATTTAATGATTCCAAAGCTCTTTCTGACTGAAATTGTATCAGAATAATCTGATATAAGATCTCTACCATGGTATGAATATTCTTTCCCACGCTTAGGTCTCAAAAAAGACTGAAGATATGTGATTTTTTTGGTTGTATTGTATGCTGTAATTTCCCATTAATTTATTTATTTTTTAAATATTTAATGCTAGATTTTTGTTCTTGGGTAAACAGCAAAAATTCATCATTTTTGTAACTTAATAAGTGTACCTGCTGCCACACTGTACTGTACATTATGTTCTATATATTTTCTATTTGAGTAGAGATGTTATTCTTGAAACGGGAGGGGGTTTTCTGCATATTTGTCTTCTTTGCTTTCTTTTTCTATCACTAGCTTTATGTAAAATACTGTATATTATTTTTACACTGCATTCCTAATGTATTTATAATATGAGATTCTATTTTTTTTTTAATTATGAGTAGTATTTTAATAAATTTTATAAAGTTAGTATATTTTTTGACCGCATAACTTTTTGCAAAAGAATAAAATTTGCAAAAGCTATGAAAAGCTACCTCAAATGAACCTTAACATCAAAAAATTATTCCGTGCGGACACCGCATGAAGAGATGCATGCGGTGTTCGATCTCTACCGTCCATCACCTTTTTGGTGGGACTAACTTTCATTAAAAAACAAAAAATCCCACTGAAGTCGTGATGGACGGTGAAGGTCGAACATCACATGCATCTTTGCACCGCGCGAAATAATTTTTCCTCAACATCACGTATAGCCCCAAGCCTACCAATGCTTCAACAATTTTACAAAAGGTTAAACATATAATTTTCAAATTCTAAGACTGCAAAAATCATAATTGAGAGGTAGTTCTTTGATGGTTTTGAATTTTTATGTATATCTTGCTCCCTGCATTAATGAGAGTTTGTGTTAAATATGTTTGATGGCTTAACATGAAGATGAAAGGTTGTAATTAAGGTGGAGTTTGTCATGGTTGGATTTGGATTAATTAAATGATAAGTTATTCATGTTTAATTTTAATTTGAGATAAGCTTTCATATATATGTTTATAATTTATAATTTTAATATTTATATTTGATTTGTATTTGGCTTATTTTGATTTATTTATATTAATTATAAAAATTGAAAATTTGAACACGAGAATTTAATGTTTCATATATAATTAAAATTTTGTTTTGTACATTATTTTCAATATAAAATTGATAAGCAATATACTAATTTGAACAAACATTAACAAGTATTAATCAATTGTTATGTATTTACATATGTAATGTCTAATCTTTACTTTTTATACTTATACCACCCAAACCTTTCATATACCATAAAAAATATTCATTTAAAATTTGAGGCCATTTACACGCAACACAATTCTAAAGTATTTACATATCTCACACCTAAAAGGTCATATTTATATAGATAGCACTCAAATCTTTAATTTCACATACAAATATAAGACTTCTCCCCTTCTAAAAGTGCATTAATTTTTTTTTTATGTTAGCTTTAAAGCACCAAAGAGTTAAGTATGTAAATATGAAAGTTTCTGGTACCAAAAAGCATATTTACAACTGGTATTTCAAAAAACAAAAGCTTAAACTGAAGACACTGCATGTATGAAGAATTGTGATTTTGCGGCATTTGGGTATTATTGCAAAAGTGGAACGCGTTAGAAAACTGAGTAAAAATTTCATACTGCATTGAGTTTATAGAGGCATTTCATTGAAACAGATGTAATCTATATATATATATATATATATATATATATACATGTATATATTGGGGCATTTACATGCATACCACCCAATTCCTATATGCTTACATAGCTAACTTCTAACTTTAATTTTAATATTTATACCCCTCAAATCTTTCACATCCCATAAAAATTCTATTGTTTTAATTTTTCAAAAGTGAATACAACTATTCATACAGAGGCGAGGTCATAGGTGTTAGATATTGATACCATTTGGAATAAAAAAAAACGAATAAACATCGAATAAATTGCAATAGAGAGGTGGAGAAACTCAAAAGATGGCTGATTTTACTAATACCAACGAAAACAAACAAGACTCTATGTTAATCTACTGTAAGATTGTCTCTCTACAAACCTTATATTCTACTTAACTTTATATCCCCTAAAAACCACCCCCAAAAAAAAAAAAAAAAAAAAACTACGGCTCAAAACAAAACATGATCCAAAACCTAGGTTATTAGCCTAACATAACCCTCTTAAAAATCCTTTAAGCATACCACCATTTTAATTTTTAAAAAGTAAAATACACATTGTAATGCATAAATAAGGGTTGTTGAGAAATTAGAGCGAAAAAAACAGGAATCGACACAAATTCAGAAGAACACGGAGATTTACGAGGTTCGACAAAGATGTATACCTTCTCGAGAGCAGAGCGACGACTTCCTTTTCAATATTCATAAAATAGTATATAATACAAGATTCAGAATCTCACCTAGGGTTACAAACATGACATATATATAACCTTATAGTACAATATGTAATTACTTAAATTACCCCTGTACCAAACCG